TATATATATACCTACGACCTACCTTATGACCTTATGACAAGAGGTTCGTCTGAACAGTGGGTCATTAATGATTATATTTTTTGGTGGTGTGGTAGCAGGAGCACATCAAATATGTGATTCTTGTGGTAATAAGTACTTTCCGAATTGCATACATTTCATGGTAAAATAGTTATGTTTTATGTTTGTTTATTTTTAATATTCAGAATATATAGGTAAGCCTTTATAGTTTTTTACAGAGCAAAATGATTTGCAAATTTTTAACGTTTGTACTTTGTGGTTATTAAATCGCGCCAATTCACCAAGGCATCATACCGATAATCTACACATTTCTATATAAACTGAATAGTGTTACTACATATACTCGATTTTACATTGCAATGAAACACGTCTGCCAACACGTACAACAATTAGAACATAGATCTACAAAGTATTGATAATAATTATCTTCTGGGTTATCGCATCTCCGATTCTACATGGGCTTCCTCGGTTAACGCGCTTAGTGTCGCCTGCGTTGGTCTAGCGTGTGCCAGTGTTGTAGGTTTTGAGGCCGGTTTTGGCATCGAGACCGGCCTCAAGACCGTTTTCTTTGGTCTCGGTCTCGGTCTTGGCCTCGGAGTACAATGACTCGGACTTGGACTCGAGGACTAATTGGGTCGAGGCCACTACATACATAGTACACAACTGTACATATTGTAACACGCAGTTTACAAGAACTTAAAAATAAAACTCTAGGTTTTCTAGATACACGCCTAATCTTGTAACGTTTTCAATGGCTCAATTAAGATTCTTGTCCCTTTGGTTTAAATCTGAGCTGTCACTTCGTCCCTTTGCGCTTTTTCTGCCACTTCTTTCTCTTCTTCTACCACTTCGAAGGTACTATATAGCACTCGCTCATTTGGTTCAACAAGCAGTGTCATTCTCGTAAAACAAATAAATCCTTTACGTTGACACGTCTCGTATGACTCGTGTCTCTGTGTTTTCAGCTGACTATACACTTTCGAATGTCTACGATGCACTGTTACGATTTTGTCCCAGATCAATCTCATAAGTCGGATGATTGCCACTAATCTACATACAATAGAAATGTTCGTAGCGTAAACAATGCATAATGCACAATGCACTAGACGTGCGCGTGCGGCTATACTAGCATGCGTTTTGCATGATATTGTATGCATCGTGCATTAACGTGTATATATACACAAGTGACAGATCCCGGGGGCAGGAGACACCCCACCCCCCCCATTTTCAAACAAACACACATAGAAGTGAGTGGCCTTGTCGGTCTGTGCCCTCTTTTTTTAATCAAAATTAAACACGGAGTCGGATTCGGACTCGGACTCGGACTCGGACTCGGACTCGGACTCGGACTCGGACTCGGACTCGGACCCGGACTCGGACTCGGACTCGAACTCGGACTCGGACTCGGACTCGAGGGGTGCGGACTCAACTACAGCACTGGCGTGTGTACTGACAAATTCTATGAGACTCGAAGGCAGCCTGTTTTCGTATGCAATGCTGTGTCTGACGATAAGGCGTGCGCAGTGGCACTTCAGCGAATGATACTGCGCGCTCATTCTGCCATGTATCTCGTCGTTCGACTCCACGATGCCGCGGAAACGCGTCGGGTAAATCCGGCGCCAGAGTTTGTATGGCGTCTCTCCCAGTGCGTTCACCACGTCGACGTGTGCGCCGTGGTTGAACAGCAGCGCATGCACTATCTGTACGCATCCTTCCCTCTGTCGCGCGTAAACATCGTCTTCGCATGCGAGCATCGCCGTACAGAAGCTGTGCAGCGGGGTGTTGCCCCTGCTGTCACGTGTGTTAACCTGTAGAAGTACGCCGGCGGACTCGCACGTCTGTAGGAGAGCTGTAGCCGCTTGTACCACTGACGCCACAAGTGCTGCTCGCATGTTGTATCTTCTCAACTCCGCCTGGCTGCCTATTATAGCGAGCGGCGTCCTCTTGTTACAATCGACGAGGTTTGGGTCAGCTCCGTGTTTCAAGAGGTGAGTAATCATCTGTGTGAACAAAAGAAACGAGGATCGTTAACAACCCGATTTTAGGTTCGTTCCTTAAAGAACATGTTTCTCCGAGCATACTACCTTAATTTATTACTGTTGCAACAGTTGCCTATTACTAATTATTACTATTATTAAATTATTAACTATTAACCGATTACTATTACTGATTACCTTTATTATCTAGACAAAAATTCATTGGAACATCGCTAAAATTGTCTCCGTCGTTCACAATGCACGCCCGCAGTTTCACCTCGGTCCCGAGTAGATTGCAGTAGTAGTGTAATGCGGTGAAATTTAACATAGCTAATATTAACTGTTAACCGATTACTATTACTGATTACCTTTACCATCTATAAGAAAATACATTAGGACATTGCTAAAATTCGGTCTCAATCATTCGCAACGTACGCCCGTAGTTTTACCTCGGTTCGAAGTCGATCACAGGAGTAGTGCAACGCGGTGAAACTTCCCATTTTTTCTGTCGCGGCAACGCTGGGGTCGGCGCCGGCCTCCAGTAGCATGCGCACAATGTCCAGCCGGCCAGAGCGAGCCGCGAAGTGCAGGGAGGTCTGTCCTTGCGAGTCCGTGGCGTTGGCGTCGGCGCCCTGTGAGAGCAGCATCCGCACCGCCGCCTCCGAGCCCCGCAACGCCGCCATCATTAGCGGCGTCTCCCCGCTGTCCGTATTGGCGACGTTGGGCTTGGCTGCGACCTCCAGTAGCAGGCGCATGATGTCCAGCTGGACAGAGCGAGCCGCGTAGTACAGGGAGGTCTGTCCGCACGAGTTGGCGGCGTTGGCATTGGCGCCGTGTGACAGCAGCATCCGCACCGCCGCCTCCTCGCCCTTCTTCACCGCTATCATCAGCGGCGTCTCCCCGCTGTACATATCGGCGACGTTGGGCTTGGCTGCGGCCTCCAGTAGCAGGCGCATGATGTTCAGCTGGACAGAGCAAGCCGCCATGTGCAGGGAGGTCTCTCCGTACGAGTCCGCGGCGTTGGCGTCGGCGCCGTGTGACAGCAGCATCCGCACCATCGCCTCCTCGCCCTTACTCCCCGCCATCATCAGCGGCGTCTTCCCGGTGTGCGTCTTGGCGACGTTTGGATCTGCACCGTCCTCCAGTAGCAGGCGCATGATGTCCAGCCGGCCAAAGCGAGCCGCGTAGTACAGGGAGGTCTGTCCTTGCGAGTCCGCGGCGTTGGCGTCGGCGCCGTGTGAGAGCAGCATCGGCACCGCTGCCTCCGTGCCCGAATACGCCGCCATCATCAGCGGCGTGTTCCCGGTCTTCGTCTCGGCGACGTTTGGATCTACACCGGCCCCCAGTAGCAGGCGCACGATGTCCAGCTGGCCACAGCAAGCCGCGATGCACAGGGCGGTCTCTCCGTATGAGGCCGCGGTGTTTGGATCAACGCCGGCCTCCAGTAGCAGGCGCATAATGTCCAGCTTGCCAGAGCAAGCCGCGTAGTACATGGGGGTATGTCCGTGCGAGTCTGTGGCATAGGCATCGGCGCCGGCCTCCAGTAGCAGGCGCATGATGTCCAGCTGGCCAGAGCAAGCCGCGCGGTACAGGGTGGTCCGTCCGCACGAGTCCGTGGCGTTGGCGTTGGCGCCGGCCTCCAGTAGCAGGCGCATGATGTCCAGCTGGCCAGAGCAAGCCGGCGACAGGACCCGCGCGTTCCCGCCGGCCACGACTGCGTGCAGCATCGTTCCGTCGCCACGGTAACGCGCGCGGAGGTCCGCTCCATTGTCTAGCAGCGCGGCTGCAACATCCGCGCTGGCTGTATCGTAGGCGAGCATGAGAGGCGTTCGCCCGCGCTCATCCTCCTCTTGCAGGGGCGCGTCATGCAGCAGCAGCTGTTTCACAATCTCCATCTTCTCTTCTGCCCTGTTCCGCGAAAGTGCGCATGCGACATGGAGAGAAGTCTCCTTGCGAACGTTCACGCACGATTTTTTCGCTCCACCTCGCAAAAGTTCTAACACTTTCTCAACGTCCCCACGTGAACAGGCAGCATGCAGGTCTGACATTCTTCTCCCAACAGTAGGCACGCACTGTGCGTCTTTCTGTTGCGTGAGGGTCCAGTGCAGTTCATCTACCTAAAATGCACACTGATGTTAACGAAGGCATGTATAGTTGATTGCGATGTTAAAGTGTGTATTGTGAGTTTTTTGGCTCAGAAAAACTAAATATAGCTGAATATAGTCTCACCTGACAGTGGAAATATCACTGATTATACCAACATTCAAAACACCAAGATTTTATGCAGTTATAGCATAGAAAAATTGATTTGACCATATCATACCAGCAATAAATTTTATCGTATGCCGACTCTCAAAATCACAAATGGCGTCTTCAAACAAGTGCACATAATTAAAACAAAGGCCAAGGGGAATCTATTTGTGTGTGATAAGTATTCTCGCTGGCCGTACGCTCAGGCCGTACGCAGTATCGATTTGATCCACTTCTCTCTCCGTCTCCGTTATAGTCCCGAGGACTTTTGAAGACTAATATTTATGAGATTACAAATTACACTCCTGTTTGTGTTACGCTACTATGCACCTCTGTGTTTACATCTGACCAAAAATATCTCCGGTGCGATTTTTGCATTACTGCACCCTTGTTGACGTCTCGCGGTACCGCGAGAAAGTCCGAGACATTACAGCAAAAATCGAAAAGAGAACGCAAAATTGTAATCGTGCATGATTTGGTCAATACGGACTCACGGAGGTTCTAAGACATTAAATTTTTATTGTTATTTCAAACAATTAATGTTATTCAAGCAACAACGGTAGGCATCATGAGAGTGAGAATAAACACTGAAAAACGCTCGCGATGGTTACTTTAATATAGTGCATGACAAATCGAAATCAGCTTTGTTCTCCACGTATTCACATTTTCTGTAATGCAGTGTCCAACAGATCGCTGAAAAAGTTTATTTTCCTAATAGCACAAAGGCTGAAGTCCAAGGCCAGGAAGCAAATCGGAAAGGAGACAAATAAAGTGATTAAGCCTGGAGGATTGCCAAAGCATACACACATCCACTTAAATATGCCTGGGGACCACCGCTTCCCAATGCTCCACCCGCTTTACCAAGTGCAACGCGCAACTCGGCAGCTAAACCTGCGCTGAAGCGTAAAGGTGGTAAGACAAAAATTAACCAGTGCAGTCCTGAACTGTTTTGAACAGAATAGTGGAATAGGAGAAAGTGTAGAAAACAACTTGGTTAAAGAACTAGCAAGAAGTGGTGTATCCATATTGAATCTAATTCTGATATATTATTCATTTAGTGTAGGTGTTTAGATCTAACATCAAGTGAGACAGGACAGTGCAGTACGTGGATGGGTAAAGGTGTTTAGTTGGTGTAGGTACTAGGGACACCAGTTCCACGTGCCAGCTAGTACTTTACCACCTGAAATTTATTTTAATTTATGTTAGACGCTGAAGCCTGCATGGCTAGTTAACAGTATGCTGCAAGTAAAAATGATAATTAAACAAGTGCCGCAGAGCGACGGCGCTCAACAGAGGTGTACTGTAGCCGGGTATTCTTCTGAGAAACTCACTGGCAACCAAATCAAGTGCGGCCTCCCGCCACCGCGTTCGCGCTCAGAGAATATATCTAGAATACTACTAATACAGATCTAAAATCTGATAGGCTTTGCTATACCGGTAGTACAGTAATAAAGATACAGCTGTGTTAAAGTAACTATTGCGAGAGATTTTTACAGTGTTTTCCCCACTATCATGATACCTACCATTATTGCTTGTGTAACAGCAATTGCCTAGAGTAACGATAAAATATCTTAGAACCTTCGTATTCACCAAATCCTGCAGTGCCCTGCACGATTACAATTCTGCATTCTGTTTATGTTTACCGTTGCCATCTCTCGGACTTTCTCGCGGTAGCACGAGACATCTATCACGGTGCAGTAATGCATACCGTCGCACCGTAGAAATCAGGTCAGAGTGTAAACACAGACGTACATACTAGCGTAACAGGAGTGTACATAGTACTAATGCCGCATAAAGTCTGTTATTAGAGAAGCTTGTGGATTACCAGTCAGATAGTAACACGAGAATGACAATGACAGAAAGTGCTCCGAATTATTGACATAAAAACTCAATAATATATACCACACAGAATTGCACGCCCTTTAGTTTTAATTATGGACTTGGTTTGAAAGCGCCATTTGTGATTTTGAGTCGGCATACGATAAAATTTATTGTTGGTATGATGTGGTCAAATCCATTTTTCTATGCTATAACTGCATAAAGGGGAGGGGGAGGGGGCTTTAATAGCAAAAGCAGTTCAGTCCTTTGTTAATGTCAGTCAACAAATCCGTGTTTACCCGTCCTCTTGAAGGTCAAAACGTTATCAGACACTTACTCTTCGCACGTCAGCGGAAAGCACATTTCATATGGGCCTTTCAATAAAGTGATAAAAATGATAGGTCAGCGCTGAAACAAAAAAGTTTTCCACTCGGTCCATTAGACCATGCATGTCCTCAGAAAATGTCTGATATCTGACATTTCCCCACACTGCCCTTTGACCTGTGACCTCCAATTTCGCGCTGGTGATGGGTTTCCTCCCCATCACACTATACATCGAATATTATAAGAGCGTAGGTCAAGCCGTTGAGATTTGTGCCGCAATTCCCGGGGGAAATATTCCTCCTCCATTGACACACCTTGACCTTTGACCCTTGACCCCCAAATTCGACATACCGAGTCCTTTTTGCGATCCCCCCCCACGTCCCGAATATCAAGACCGTACGTCGAGCGGTTAAGATTTGTGCCATAACTGTTGACACACGGACGGACGTACAGACGGACGGACGGACGCACGGAGGGACATTCATGCGCTTCTACAAGCTGCATCTGACTTCGTCAGCTGAGCTAAAAATGCTTATTCTTCTAGACATTTCATTCACATTTTCATGTTATTAGCTATCGTAATTATAATGACAGTTTATCGTTTGCTCCATAACGATGTAGCAAACACTCACACTACTGTGTAGCCAACCTTTCATTTTCACAGATGACTTGCAAGGAGAGGTCATATTTGAACTAGAAAGGGCAGTTGTCGCCAACTACATGTATCCCCCGTGATCTAGTATGAATGAAATATCTCTGTAAGGACGTAGAAGGTAGGTAAAGTTAAATAAGTCACAAAGACAAAGGTTTCTTACACAACTCATCTGCCTGAGATGTGCAAGTATGTTAAAATTGGTTGCCTTAGTGGTTTTGGTATGCAACACACCTTCTCCCCAAGATGTGTAAGTATACGAAGTTTGCTCGTGCTAGGTCAATTAGGGGCCGAGTTATAGAGCAGAAGGGAAATATGATGAAGGTCAAGGTCAAGGTCAATGTCAAAAAAAGGTTGTAGTGACCTGGTTTCGGTACGCGACACACCTTCTACCCAAGATGTGTAAGTATACGAAGTTTGCTCGTGCTAGGTCAATTAGGGGTCGAGTTATAGAGCAGAAGGGAAATATGATCAAAGTCAAGGTCAATGGCAAATAAAGGTTGCAGTAACCTGGTTTCGGTGCGCGACACACCTTCTTCCCAAGATGTGTAAGTATGCCAAGTTTGGTAGCGCTAGGTCAATTAGGGGCCGAGTTATAGAGCGGAAGGGAAATATGATCAAGGTCAATGTCAAGGTCAAATAAAGGTCGCAGTGACCTGGTTTGGTCATGCTAGGTCAATTAGGGGTCGAGTTATAGAGCAGAAGGGAGTGTCTCCGGCGGCGGCGGCTGGACAGACATGAAACCATAGTATCCCCGCCGACTACGTCGCGGGGGATACAATAATTATATATTAATGCCTGCTGTTGAGGGCACTATGCTCTCATAGTGTTGCTGAGGGAAGGAATAGTCCTATTCCTTCCCAAAGCAACGCTATGAGAGCATAGTGCCCCCAACAACAGGCATTAATGTTTTTAGTGCATCACCTGACTATGCAATCTACTTTTCATGCTTATATACCTTCTTTATACTCCCTAATTTGCCGGTGCATTCGATGTAACAAAACGTTCGACACAAACACAACCGCCCTTCGAAACTTTTGCGTGGCGCCCAGACGCAGGAGATTCGTGACGTGAACACAATGCGTTATAATAACAATGCGTCGCACAAGCAATAGTGCCCGCTCAGGCGGGCACTATCGCTTCATAGTGCCTGCATGCTGCGTTATCCAATGGAATTTCAACGATTTATCACGTGATGCACTAATTGATGTTACTAATACTTATATGTGATAATATTCTACGAATGAAATTGTATATCATTGCAGGGTTTCTTCTGAGAGAAAATTAGACAACGGCGGTAATGGCCAGTTTGGGGGAAAACGCACATGGTGGATTCAAAGGCGTGCAGTAGGCATGAATGTGGATTCTGCAGGCAGGTGCGGGGGAGAGAGGTAGAGGGGGGTTTTGGGGGTTTCCCCCATAAAAAATTTAAAGGGATAGTAGACTCTA